TTAAACAGAATCGGCGAAAGAACTCCTTAGGGAACTTTTGAAGGTGCTATAGTGCCTCAAGTGTATCGGAAATGAGCGACAGGTTGATTTTTGCTCCTTTTCATGGAAACCTGTAGGTTAATAACGACAATTTGGACAAGTACTCAACTCCCGGCTTATCGAAATTATTTAACATCAAAATGGATATACCATCTGGGCCAATAACGTACAATGAAAGCTTCTCAAGTATGCACCAAGATCTATTGTACTCCTTAGTTCACTATCTTCCATTCCAAACATTAATTATTATTTAGCTGTAAAGAAGAAGAAAAAACATACTTATTAAAACTGGTCGTTTATTTTGTGTAGCCAAAATGGCACTTATGCCAATGGCCACTATTTCCGATCTTTCAGAACCGGTTAAGCAGTTCAAAACCAGTGGAGAAGAAGGGGTATTAAAATCGAGGCAACGTTGTTGATGAGCCTGTAAAGCATTACGTGCTATACCCACTACTAAGGGAGGAGTGCTGCAGAAGGAATAAGATTAGGTTTAAAAGGAGAGTTTAGATTTGGTTATATTTCTTATACCTTTTAGTCCATGTTTTTATTTGCAATACTGACAATTCGATAATGGCATCAGCGCCCAACATGGAAAGTTTCAATTGATATTCTATGCAATGCGATAATTGTATTATTTTTATGCATTTAACAGTGAAATCATCAAAATTAGATTCTTTATCTACCGACTGAGGCCAGAAGGGATCAAGCATCTAGCAATAGAAATTTATAAAATCAAGTTAATCTTATTTTGTTCTTAATAAAGCTTTAATATCGAGTTTCCTTACCTCATTTGGTGTATGTAGCGAGAGTATAGTTCGTGCCTTTTGTGACCAAATCATGGACCAAAAATCATTTATAGTATTTTGTTGCGGAGTTTGGGCTATTATGAAATTCGGACAGCCAGTACTCAAATTCTAAAAGTAAAACAATTGTATTTCTTAAACTAATACAATTCATAACATTTCATTTACCTTAACAAATGCTGCATTAATATAATCATCCGTTTCCTTATCCAATTTAACCCGGGCATGATCGTAGGGCAAACAATCTAAGGATCTATTTTTCTCGGGAAATAGTTTTGCTATTGAAGTGGTTCTAGTGGGCGCCTCTTTGCCCAGAAGATCTTGTAATTCTTTCCATTTTGTAGATAATGGAGTATGACCATTAAGCATTTAACATTTAGAGACTCAATGAATTTTTCAAAACGCTCTACCTCCTTGTGAAAATATTAAGAGTTTTGTCATCATTAAAAGGATCTAAGGGTTTTAGTTGGAATGTAGAACCGGAATGTTTTTGATCATTGTTCGAAGGTTTATCACTGCGCATGGAAACCGAATCCCAATCGAAATTATCCAAAGAGGAAATGTCAGAACAATTGGATAAATTATCAAAACTGGCTTTGGTGTAGCTGGTGAATCCACCGGAGAAGTTAGTTGTTGTAAAGGTGCGGCCGGTAAACAGCCGGTTCAAAGGTGATGAGAGTTGGTTATCCACAGTAGAGTTTATGTAGTCCTAAACATAAATTTGTTATAGAAGAATTCTTAAAAGAAAAAATCAAAACCCACCTCTAATTGTTTAGTTTTTTCATCTTTTCTTTTGTGAGTTTCTTCTTTTTCTTCGTTTTTCTTGGGTGTAGTGGGTTGCTGCCACCTGGCTGGTGGGGGGACTACTTACCACTTGAGGTTTTTAACACTGGTTGTGGTCATATAGGTGGTGGTACTGCTGCTACACCCGAAAAATCTATATCACTTAACAAATCAATATTTGATGATTCTTAGTATTAATCACTGGCTTGGGGGCTGGTGCTGTTGTAGCTGCTGGAGCTGTTGATTTTACTTCTGGAACTTTTGCTCTGGTGTCTCAGTGTTGTTCTGTTTTGTCATTGGAGACTGTTGACTGCTGGTAGCATAAATCTTACCACTTTTGTAGTTTGTGTATTGGCTGTAGTGCCCGTGCCACTTTGTATCTAAATATTTGTTTGTGGCTGTTGGTAAGTTGTTTGTTGGGGCGTGGCAGGTCGTGGTGTACCTGTAGCAAGTTGACCAGTTTGTATGGGTGCTATTGGTGGGGGTATTACCATTAGTTTGATAACCATAGGGAGCATGTAGTAATTCATGTTATCAGCAGGGATAGTTGAGGTTTTTGCATCTGGTTTTACTGTGGCAATTGGTGTGGGTTTGGTGTGAGAGAGGAAACGATGGGAGACTGGAAATGGAAAAGTTTTGTAAATATAATTAAGGGAATTTTTATTTATAATCAAGTCTTTAATAGGCTTATTTCTTACTGCGAACTAATAATCGAATTGTTATCGAGAGTTTCAGTATAAAAGTAGATGTATATGTACAATAGATAGATAGATAGATAGAATAGATAGATTAGATAGATAGATAGATAGATAGATAGATAGAGAGAGTAGATAGATAGATAGATAGATAGATAGATAGATAGATAGATAGATAGCTAGATAGATAATAGATAGATAGAAGATAGATAGATAGATAGATAGATAGATAGATAGATAGATAGATAGATAGATAGATAGATAGATAGATAGATAGATAGATAGATAGATAGATAGATAGATAGATAGATAGATAGATAGATAGATAGATAGATAGATAGATAGATAGATAGATAGATAAGATAGATAGATAGATAGATAGATAGATAGATAGATAGATAGATAGATAGATAGATAGATAGATAGCTAGATAGATAGATAGATAGATAAGATAGATAGATAGATAGATAGATAGATAGATAGATAGATAGATAGATAGATAGATAGAAGATAGATAGATAGATAGATAGATAGATAGATAGATAGATAGATAGATAGATAGATAAGATAGATGATAGATAGATAATAGATAGATAGATAGATAGATAGATAGATAGATAGATAGATAGATAGATAGATAGATAGATAGATAGATAGATAGATAGATAGATAGATAGATAGATAGATAGATAGATAGATAGATAGATAGATAGATAGATAGATGGTAGATGGGTAGATAGATAGATAGATAGATAGATAGATAGATAGATAGATAGATAGATAGATAGATAGATAGATAGATAGATAGATAGATAGATAGATAGATAGATAGATAGATAGATAGATAGATAGATAGATAGATAGATAGATAGATAGATAGATAGATAGATAGATACATATATGGGTAGATATATAGATAGATAGATAGATAGATAGATAGATAGATAGATAGATAGATAGATAGATAGATAGATAGATAGATAGATAGATATATAGATAGATATATAGATAGATAGATAGATAGATAGATAGATAGATAGATAGATAGATAGATAGATAGATAGATAGATAGATAGATAGATAGATAGATAGATAGATAGATAGATAGATAGATAGATAGATAGATAGATACAAATATATCTTACATCGAATCCCGTGGCTACATTAATTTTCCCAGCACTCTGTGAATCGGTAGTACCAACTTGGGTATTGACAGCCGCCGCTCCTGTAGTATATTGACCATAAAACTGTTGATTAGCTGGATTAGTTTGCTGATAGCCACTATTATAATTAAAATTGCCCGTTTGCGGATTAAAACTATAACCAGGATGCATAGTAGTGTGTGATGATGACAAAGAACCAAATGGAGCGGTAGTAGTGGTAGTGGATGTAACAACATTAGAAGTTAAAGCATTAGAAGTTGAAGAAACTGGAGCTGGAACAGCAGCAGACGGATACATTGTGGCGTTAGTGCCTACCACTTGTAAAGGATTTTGAATCTGAGGAGTTTGCTGCAAGTTTGTGGAGCCAGCAGTAGCTGGTGCTGTCTGTGTGTTTGGTAGATGATTAACAACAAAAGGAGCCTGCATGGTGGGAGGTACCATATTTTGAGCAGTTGATTGCAAAAGTGTAGTTGAAGAAGGCAAACCAGTTTGATTTGTGGCCACATACAAAGGTTGATTTGTAGGTACACTTGTGGGGGGAGTTTGATAGCTATTCTGTTGAGAACTTTGCTGATAAGTTGGATTCAAATTATTGCTTGCTGGTGTATTGGTACCATAGAAATAGGGTTGAGGTGTATAAGTGGTGGCAGCAGCTGTTGTAACAACTGGTGGTGATGGTGTATACATTTGTGGCGTATTTGAAACCGTTGACTGTGCAGCATACAGAGAATTATTGGTCATATTGGATGTTGGAGGATTGTTAGTTGAATATGGCAAAGATGTAGTATTGTTGTTGTTTAGAGAAGCTTGATTAAGGTACGTTTGCTGGTTGTTCGGGTATGTTGGTTGATTTGTTAGATAGTTCTGATTGTTGCCTTGATAAACCAAAGGATTTTGAGGATTATTAGACAACGAGTTGTAAGACATTTGTGGGTAATTCCCGGTGTTGGCTACTCCTGTTAGGGGATTTGTAGTATTGTTAGTGTTTTGTTGTGGCTGCTGTTGCAAATTCAAATTAGCCATGTTGGCATTTAAAGCCGTGAACTGTGAGTTTGGAGAGGCTTGAGGCTTATAAGCCGGTGGCGCTATATTCTGTTGATATTGCAAAAACATGGGATTGGTGTAGCCTGCTCCAGTGGTATCATAATATTGTGTATAGGGTGGTGGTGGTTCATTGGGTCCCACTGTAGGTGGTAAAGTGCCACTTGTGGGAGGATAATAAGAACTACCACCCGAGCAAACGGCCTGTGTAGGATTCTCAGAGCCCAAAGGATTGGGCCTTACAGGCGGTATGTATTGCTGAGGATTTGTTGCATTATAGGCCGCCGTATTTGCATTTGGCGGCATTGTGTTAAGATTTTTTTCTTTAGCTGCCTTTTTGGCATTCAAGTAATCACGTAATTTTGGTGTAGTGGAGGTGGTGGCTGCAATGGATGGATTGGATAAGGGTGTGGTATTATTAAGCTGATAGGAATCAGTAGATAATGGGGCTGGGGGGTACTGGAGAACCATAAGGTTTATGGGTAACACTTTTCAAACGTTGCTGACGTTCTTCGGATTGAACATCTCTTGCAGATTTGCAGCGTGATAAAAGTTTTTGAACATTGGCTGGAAAGAGTAAGAAATATTAAAAATAATTTCATGATTGCAGTATAATTCCTAAACTCACCCGATAATTTATTATAGAACTCTAAACCCTTGGCCGATTTGGCCAATAAATCTTCATACACATCATAGGAGGCAGCCAAAGAGGCAAAGAATCCCTCACGTTTATTTTTAACATCTGCCAAGGTCTTCAAAACAGGAGCCGCCTTAGCATAGGATTCCGTTAAAGCCTTTAAAATATTCTCCTGGGCCAATAGGTTTTGATCTATTAACTGGGTCAAACGTTCATGTTTGGCCATTTCACGATCGAATAAAGCCTGCAAATCTTCCTCAGAATCGTGGGCTATAATTTTAGTGGTAATATCATCATCATTGACCGCTATACGTAAATCAGCATGAAATTGGGAACGTTGTGCCTTCATTTCATTAACTTTATTCACGATAAGTTTAACATCTTTAAAAACTTCAGCGGTATTGAGTTCAGAACTCAACTTGGGCACAGACTGTTGTATGTCTTGCAAAGGTTTGGCCAAGATTTTCAAATTATTGATGTGCAACTCCATGGCTTTACGTAAAGTATCATTAGACTCGCCTGCTCTATTGTGAGCCTCGGAGTATTTTTGAAATTCACGCGTTAATTCGGTTATATGGGCATTGGGTGTTCGTTGTACACCGGTGAGTTGTTGAAACTCCTTTTCCTCCTTCTCTTCCTGCTGTAATATCATAGAGATCTCCTTAAGATTGGCCTCTACATCACCACATATCTCTTGCTAAACGTGACATGGATTGCACCAGTTCTGGTATGGCGGTTTTATTGGCATTTAAGGCTGCACATCGGTCCACTATACCCTGAGGTATTTTATTAGCCTTTTCCTCATTGATATTAAGATTATCCAATGTTAGCGAACTCATAAAACTAGCCAATTCACCATCTTTCTCCTCAATTTTGTTGCCATATTTACGCAATAGTTTAGCTTTTTCCTCACTATACATAGAGCTAGCTTCATGCGCCTTCATGGGCACTAGACGAGCAAATATATCCTCACCTGCTATCTCTGGATCTGTGGCAGAAAATCCTATGCCATTTACTAGATTAGCTCCTTGTACCGCACTTATGGTTGCCAATTCGGGTACGGATTCGTGATAAATGAATTCATTTTCATTTTTAGCATTTTTACGTTTTGCCTCCACGACATCAGCGGTGAATATGAGAGATTCATTGATTTCTTTTATATCGGGTAGACCTTTGGATTCTTTGCGTGCTTCTTCGAGTTTTTCCCAAGCAGCCTAGAAGGAAGAATGTGCAGAAAATTATGTTGTATTTATTTTCAATTGTATACAAATTGCTGGAAAAGTGAACTAAAACTAAACTAGAACTGAACTAGAACTTATGGAGTACAACGTATACAGTGAAAACCACTTCCATTCACTTTCGGCAATTCCCTCAAAAAAATGTTTCCTTTAAACTTACCTCATACAAAGTAACCCTCTCTCCCATTTTCCTTTGCTCTTCAGCATGTTGTCCTTGATATAAGTATAAAATGCAACTCAAGTAGGAAATCTTAAACGAACATATTTCTTCCATTGTTTATAAACGGCCGAATCGACTACATGGGCCACAGGGCCATCATCTCCACCAGTAAGTAAAGCAGCCAAGGCCGCCCCATAATACACCACTATTTGTGCGGTAACTTTAGCCACAATATTTGGTTTACGATTATCTATTAACGATTTCTCCAGTATACATTCCTGAGCCTGGGCAAAGGAGACCTGTTGCATAAACACCAGCAATTCAGTAGTAAAACAATCACCAAATTCATCCATATTAATATAACGTTCACGTATCTCGCCAAAAGCCCAGGCGGCACATTGGAAATGGGTGCAGGCCAATTTCATGCCCTCTATATCGGTACGATTGACCGCGGCACCGGCTTGTGTATGAGCTGCTGCTACATTGTATAAGACGGCAGCTTGTTCATAGCCTATGTCATTGTATTCCTGAACCTTGGAGTTGTATAGATCCTTCCAGGTAAATTGAAAAATAACTTTCTTGTCTCTTAACTTGGGAAAACGATTAAGCAACGACTCCAATTGGCAAAAATAACGCTTTAGTATAGCACAATTATCCTTAGGGGTATTTAAAGCTTGATTGCGTAAAGTTTCTAAAGCATAAAGTTCTTTGGAATAATTGTCCGGATTCTCTTGATAAAATTCGGCAATATACTGTGAAAGTAAAGATAAAATTAACAAAGCATTATTTAAATACATGTAAATGCAATACATCAAATAATAATAATAAACTTAAAAAATAATAAAAACAGATGAGTCAGTTTTTCACAATCGCCGACACCCCTCCCTCTTGTACAATGAAAAATAATTATCCAATTGCTTTCTTTTGTTCTTTTTAGCTGATAATTTCATTAATTTTTTATGAGTTACTACTTACTTTCTTTAAACCCGCAAAGGAAGTCCCCTCCGGACTGGATTTGTTGGGAAAAGACAACATATGAAGTCGTGGAACTGCCTCCATTGTGTTGTGAGTAGACAAAAATTTCACCAGTCAATCAATTGCAATCAAATTGGAAATTTTTTGCTTAAACTATTTCTTTAGATTTTCTTAATTCTGTCATTGATTTATTATTTTCTACAACTTTTACTTATGCGTTTATTGTTATTTGTTAGTTTAAATTAATTATTTTTTTATGCACAAATCTACCAGAAAATAATTTAACACCGATTTTTGCAAACAAAAAAGAGAATTCTGATTGAATTGCAGAAAAAGAAACCTGCGCCAATCATTTTATACGACGGCGGCGTCTAAAGACAAGACCATAGGCGGCTACATTAGCCACTGAATTCCGGCATATTTTGCTTATTTGCAGCGTTAAACACAACAACACGTACAAATTCCTTCCACGAAAATTTAATCCCAAATAAAACATGAAATTCCTCATTTGGGAACAATAACCAAATTGTGGATTGCAATAAATGATTTTTCCTCTTGTTTTTATACATTTTTAGTGCATCCAAGTTCTGCCAAATCAAGTGGATAAATAAATATATCTATATGTCAAATATGATTGGGGACATGAGTAAAAATAGGTTTGGCAACACTTAAAGATATAAACAGCTAAGACACCAAAGCCACAAACCCTAATGTAGAGACATCTGAATGTCAAAACTTAAAACATTGAAAGTACAAACTTGTATAGTACCAGACATATACCAAATAGAATTGAACTAGAACTGAACTAGAACTGAACTAGAACTGAACTAGAACTGAACTAGAACTGAACTAGAACTGAACTAGAACTGAACTAGAACTGAACAAGAACTGAACTAGAACTGAACTAGAACTGAACTAAAACTGAACTAGAACTGAATTAGAACTGAAACAGAAGCTGACCTAGAACTGAACTAAATGAAACTAGAACTGAACTAGAACGAACTAGAACTGAACTAGGCACTGAACTAGAACTGAAACTAGAATGAACTAGAACTGAACTAGACTGAACTGAACTAGAACTGAACTAGAACTGAACTAGAACTGAACTAGAACTGAACTAGAACTGAACTAGAAACTGAACTAGAACTGAACTAGAACTGAACTAGAACTGAACTAGAACTGAACTAGAACTGAACTAGAACTGAACTAGAACTGAACTAGAACTGAACTAGAACTGAACTAGAACTGAACTAGAACTGAACTAGAACTGAACTAGAACTGAACTAGAACTGAACTAGAACTGAACTAGAACTGAACTAGAACTGAACTAGAACTGAACTAGAACTGAACTAGAACTGAACTAGAACTGAACTAGAACTGAACTAGAACTGAACTAGAACTGAACTAGAACTGAACTAGAACTGAACTAGAACTGAACTAGAACTGAACTAGAACTGAACTAGAACTGAACTAGAACTGAACTAGAACTGAACTAGAACTGAACTAGAACTGAACTAGAACTGAACTAGAACTGAACTAGAACTGAACTAGAACTGAACTAGAACTGAACTAGAACTGAACTAGAACTGAACTAGAACTGAACTAGAACTGAACTAGAACTGAACTAGAACTGAACTAGAACTGAACTAGAACTGAACTAGAACTGAACTAGAACTGAACTAAACTGAACTAGAACTGAACTAGAACTGAACTAGAACTGAACTAGAACTGAACTAGAACTGAACTAGAACTGAACTAGAACTGAACTAGAACTGAACTAGACTAGAACTGAACTAGAACTGAACTAGAACTGAACTAGAACTGAACTAGAACTGAACTAGAACTGAACTAGAACTGAACTAGAACTGAACTAGAACTGAACTAGAACTGAACTAGAACTGAACTAGAACTGAACTAGAACTGAACTAGAACTGAACTAGAACTGAACTAGAACTGAACTAGAACTGAACTAGAACTGAACTAGAACTGAACTAGAACTGAACTAGAACTGAACTAGAACTGAACTAGAACTGAACTGAACTAGAACTGAACTAGAACTGAACTAGAACTGAACTAGAACTGAACTAGAACTGAACTAGAACTAGAACTGAACTAGAACTGAACTAGAACTGAACTAGAACTGAACTAGAACTGAACTAGAACTGAACTAGAACTGAACTAGAACTGAACTAGAACTGAACTAGAACTGAACTAGAACTGAACTAGAACTGAACTAGAACTGAACTAGAACTGAACTAGAACTGAACTAGAACTGAACTAGAACTGAACTAGAACTGAACTAGAACTGAACTAGAACTGAACTAGAACTGAACTAGAACTGAACTAGAACTGAACTAGAACTGAACTAGAACTGAACTAGAACTGAACTAGAACTGAACTAGAACTGAACTAGAACTGAACTAGAACTGAACTAGAACTGAACTAGAACTGAACTAGAACTGAACTAGAACTGAACTAGAACTGAACTAGAACTGAACTAGAACTGAACTAGAACTGAACTAGAACTGAACTAGAACTGAACTAGAACTGAACTAGAACTGAACTAGAACTGAACTAGAACTGAACTAGAACTGAACTAGAACTGAACTAGACTGAACTAGAACTGAACTAGAACTGAACTAGAACTGAAATATAACTGAACTAGAACTGAACTATACTGAACTAGAACTGAACTAGAAACTGAACTAGAACTGACTAGACTGAACTAGAACTGAACTAGAACTGAACTAGAACTGAACTAGAACTGAACTAGAACTGAACTAGAACTGAACTAGAACTGAACTAGAACTGAACTAGAACTGAACTAGACTGAACTAGAACTGAACTAGAACTGAACTAGAACTGAACTAGAACTGAACTAGACTGAACTAGAACTGAACTAGAACTGAACTATGAACTAGAACTAGAACTGAACTAGAACTGAACTAGAACTGAACTAGAACTGAACTATAACTATACTAGAACTGAACTAGAACTGAACTAGAACTGAACTAGAACTGAACTAGAACTGAACTAGAACTGAACTAGAACTGAACTAGACTGAACTAGAACTGAACTAGAACTGAACTAGAAACTGAACTAGAACTGACTAGACTGAACTAGAACTGAACTAGAACTGAACTAAACGAACTAGAACTAGAACTGAACTAGAACTGAACTAGAACTGAACTAGAAGTGAACTAGAACTAAACTAGAACTAAACTGGAACTGAACTAGAAGTAAACTAGAACTGAACTAGAAATGATCTTCCTTACGAATATCGGATAATAATTATCAAAAATTCCTTCAAAACATTACTTAAATGTTTATGTAAAGGTCACGTCATAAATGATAACGAAAATCATAAACCGTAAAATCATATATTTCCGTTACGATGCAAAAAATAAAAGTAAAATATAAATAAACCACATTTTCCAGCATTCTTTTGTGAGAATGACATTGACAAAATACGACATTTCTTTTACTTTTTCACAGAATATTTTGAGCAAAAGGAAAAAGAAAAACAAATCCTCAAAATAAGCAAAACGCAAAGGAAACACTATTTATTACAAGTTGTAGTCATGTCTGCACGAAATAATGTTAGTGTAAACATTTCCTAACAATTTAAAATAAAATATTTTTGTTATAGTTTTTTTTTTTTTGAGTTTTTTGATGTTTAACACGAAAAAGCTTAAAAAAGCAAATGCCACCACCACAGGGCATTTTTGCATAGTTACATGATGTACACTGACTCTTCGTTCAAATATTCATATTTTCATACATTTCTATGTAAATACACATGAAAGAAAACTATGTTTAAATGTATGTGTATGAATGTGACCAGAGTTTAAGTGAATGTTGTTTATATTTTGTTAGATTTTTAATTTTTTTCACTTTGTTTTGGTGGACCAAAAATATGTGTTTCATATCTAAAATAATCGTGTTGAGGGAAGGGCTGTGAACAAAACAAACTGCAACAAACAGCCATAATTCTTTAAAGCAACAAACCAAAAAGAATTTTTGGGTTGAGGCTAAACATTTTGTAACAACACATGCATCTAGACAACATATTCAGTTGCAATAAGCTCTTTTATGTACTAGTGCTAATATATTTTTATTTTAGATTATTTTACACATAAAGCCATTTTAACGGTTGTTTTGAATACTTAAACTAGTCATTGAGACTATAGACTAGACTATAGACTAGACTATAGACTAGACTATAGACTAGACTATAGACTAGACTATAGACTAGACTATAGACTAGACTATAGACTAGACTATAGACTAGACTATAGACTAGACTATAGACTAGACTATAGACTAGACTATAGACTAGACTATAGACTAGACTATAGACTAGACTATAGACTAGACTATAGACTAGACTATAGACTAGACTATAGACTAGACTATAGACTAGACTATAGACTAGACTATAGACTAGACTATAGACTAGACTATAGACTAGACTATAGACTAGACTATAGATTAGACTATAGACTAGACTATAGACTAGACTATAGACTAGACTATAGACTAGACTATAGACTAGACTACAGACTAGACTATAGACTAGACTATAGACTAGACTATAGACTAGACTATAGCCTAGACTAGACTAGAGACTATAGACTAGACTATAGACTAGACTATAGACTAGACTATAGACTAGACTATAGACTAGACTATAGACTAGACTATAGACTAGACTCTAGACTAGACTATAGACTAGACTATAGACTAGACTATAGCCTAGACTATAGACTAGACTCTAGACTAGACTATAGACTAGACTATAGACTAGACTATAGACTAGACTATAGACTAGACTATAGACTAGACTATAGACTAGACTATAGACTAGACTATAGACTAGACTCTAGACTAGACTATAGACTAGACTATAGACTAGACTCTAGACTAGACTATAGACTAGACTATAGACTAGACTATAGACTAGACTATAGACTAGACTCTAGACTAGACTATAGACTAGACTATAGACTAGACTATAGACTAGACTATAGAGTAGACTAGACTATAGACTAGACTATAGACTAGACTATAGACTAGACTATAGACTAGACTATAGACTAGACTATAGACTAGACTATAGACAGACTAGACTCTAGACTAGACTCTAGACTAGACTCTAGACTAGACTCTAGACTATAGACTAGACTATAGACTAGACTATAGACCTAGACTATAG